TTTCTAAGTCACAAGTTCATTCTAACTTTCCTGGAACAAATTGTCTATCACAGTCTGTAATATATAACAGTGTTCACTTGTTATACACCATACATGTGATCAGCAGCGTGGGGATATTTAGTAGTGGTTCAACCAGATGAGCAGGAGTTCTTTGTTTCTTAAGTCCTGTTAGTTTTGTCGTATCACCTAACATTTTGGATTTATCATCCACTTATCAGGGAGACCATGTACCGTTTGTCTCTTCGCTCTTGGCGTAGGTCAGGGTTTTATGTTTATGCAATTTAGAAAAATCTACAGGAAAAAAGTCTAAAATTGAAGTTGGTCCATTGGTTAATTTTTTTTTTCTATAGAAAGATGGCTTTTATAGTACAGAACTAGAATGCAATACTGGTACTACTGGCTGCCACCAGATTGAAGAACGCTGCTTTGGAAATCATGACCAAGGTTCTAGTCTTCTATAGAGAGTTTTGTGGGCTTAGTATTATACATGTTTGGAAGATATCATGTTGGAAGTCTTACTGGGGTATTTTGTATGTTTGTTTGTTTCGGTCATAGGGCTTGAACTCAGGGCCTGGATGCTATCCCTGAGCTTTGTCGCTCAAGGCTTGTGTTCTTCCACCTTGAGCCACAGAGTCACTTCTGATATTTGGTGGTTAATTCAAGATAAGAGTCTCATGGACTTTCCTGTCTGGGCTAGCTTCAAACTGCAATCCTCAGATCTCAGCCTCCTTAGTAGATGTGAACCACAAGTGCCTGTCATCTGCTTGGGTTTATTATAAGATATTTTTATTCTGTGGATTTGTGGCTAACAATAAAAATAAAATTGTCTTGAAATTTAATTTTACTTTATTGCTTGTTTTTTGGTAGTACTAGGTATTAAAGTAAGGACTTCGTACTTGATAGGCAAATGCTATTGTCACTTGAGCCATGCCCCAAGTCTTTTTGCTTTTAGTTTCTTTTTCAGATAAGGTCTCACATTAACTTTGCCTGGGTTTATCTCCAACTGCAAACCTCCTATTTCTAGCTCCTAAGTTAACTGAGATCACAGTTCTGCACCACCATCCCATGTTTTTGAGAGCATGTCTTGCTGACTTTTGCCTGCGCTGACCTCAAACATCAGTCTTCCTGTGTGTACCTTCTGAGTAGCTGGGATATGCAACCATTCCCCGACCAATTTTACTTTTTTACTAATCAATTAATGCCACATTTTCTTGCCATGAGTCATCTTTATAAATAATTTTACATTTTACTTTTTTTTAATTTATTTTTTTTATTTTATTTGTGAAAATACTGTACAGAGGGGTTACAATTGCATGGGCAGGATAATGCGTACATTTCTTACCAAGCATTGCAGCCTCCTCCTTTGTTTACCCTTCACATCACTTCCCAGCCTCCCTTTACTTTTAGAAATATTTTTTAAAGTTCATTTTCATATAAGTAGTAAATCTGATAACCTTTAATGCTCCTTACTTGCCCACCTGCCTTTCCTTTGAAAGCAAATTAAAGTACCTGTTTAGTCTACATTTGGATTAAACTCTTGTCAGTTTCCCAAATGTTTTGATTCTTAAAGTTTGAGTAGCCTCAGTAATGTGTACTTCTATAGAACTCAACAAACACAGTATGGTACAGCTATAAGTACTAAAATATTCCTTAAAGTATTGCACTTATACTTGAGTTTCTAACTATCCTTTAGGGCAGAAGCAAGAGACTTTTTTTTTTTTTTTTTGCCCATCCTGGGACTTGAACTCCAGGCCTAGGTGCTGTCCCTGAGTCTCTTTGTGTTCAAGGCTAACACTCTACCACTTGAGCCACACCACCACTTCTGGATTTTTCTGAGTAGTTTATTGGAGATAAAAGTCTCTGAACTGTGAGCTTTGAACTGTGATCCTCAGATCTCAGCCTCCTGAGTAGCTAGGATTATAGACATGAGCCACCAGCACCCAGCTTGAAGCAAAAAACTTTGAATAGAAAGGTAGTAATAAATTCTTTTTTTTTTGGGTCCGGTTGTGGGGCCTAAACTCTGGGCCTAGGTGCTGTCCCTCAGCTCTTCAGCTCAAGGCTAGCACTCTACCACTTGAGCCACAGCACTATTTCTGGCTTTTTTTTCTTTTTCTTTTTGCTTATGCGGTGCTGAGGAATCGAACCCAGGGCCTCATTCATGCAAGGCAAAAACGCTACCACCTTCCCAGCCCGGTAGTAATGAATTGTAACTATATGTGGTTAGTATTTTTTCAGTCTGACATACCTGAACCATATTCAGATTCTTATCTGTAAGTTATTAGTGACCTGCTGTGGATGAGGTGTGAGATAAATATTGTTTGAACAGTTATTTTCACCCTACAACTTGATCAAACAGGATCACAGTTAAATTTTACTTGACTTAGTGTTGTCAGTGAAGAGTAGGGAAGGAAAGTGTTTTAGTGTGTTTTGGAGGTGAAGGTACCTAGCTCGCATTTGCCTGTTTTGTAACCTGTGGTTATAGAAAATTGGTATTGCATACAAAGGAATTGTAACATCATTAAGCCCTCCAGGTCCTTCTGTCAATATTTTGCCATTGTTATATACTCTAAGCTTCTATCTGCTCTTTAGACCATCTCCATTATGGTTCTTTTAGGCGAAATTTACAGACATTGAAATGTGCAATTCCTATGATATAAGATTCCTATCTTCCAGAAGGTTCCATCATACTTCGTTCTTATCATTCTGGAGCAGGAAGGTTTTGCTTTTACCTTAGTATCGTCAGAGGGTTGTAAGTAGTAAATGTGTGAGTGATTGCAGTTGATGTTATAAACTGAAAAACATGCTATTTTTCATCTCAAAACAACAGGATCTCAAACACTAAGCCTTAAATTCATTCAGACCTTCTAAAATTTTTTTTCATTTTTTTCAATTTTTTGGCACTGGGGATTGAACCCAGGGCCAAGCAAGTGCTCTACCACTTGAGCATTTTTAAAAGTAAGTCTTGTGAGGCGAAAGTTCTAGACAAATGTGACCAATTATGTATTTTCAGACTGAAATTAAGGATGTTTTTTAATTTCTTATTTTTTTTAAGAATCCTCGCAAGGCTCGTGTAACTCGACGTTTCATCGTAGTAGAAGGATTATATATGAATACTGGAACTATCTGTCCTCTTCCAGAATTGGTAAGCAACCATGTTCAGTCATTATTTTAATGGTTAGACTATTTGGCAGATATACATTTGTTTATGATTACATTTGATATGTAATGTCTATACCGTTTTTCACACTAGGTTTCAAACATACATACCAGGCAAGTAGATTAACATTAAAAGTCAAAAAGCTGGCTTTAAAATATATCAATGGAATACAGAATTCACATGTATGGAGATGTAACTATGATATGAACCCCCCCATTTAATTGATATCTATCTACCTATCTATCTATCTATCTGTGTATCATACCTAATGATGTAAGTACCAAAGGATGTAATTAATTGTCATGAGATAATTTTGTTTGTATTTCCCAAATGACTAATGGTACTGAGCTCTGTTTCACATACTTGTTGCCCATTTGTATGTTTGGGGAGAAATACCTGTTAAGTATTTTGCCCATTTTTTAATGGGTTGTCTTTGTATTATTAAATTATGAATTCCTTATCAGTTATAACGTGACTTGTAGGTATTTCTCCCATTATATGGACTTTTTTGTTGCACTTCAGTATGTACTCTTGAAGTACTTTAGTATTGTTCCCAATTTTGAAGAAGTTCTGTTTATTGTTTTGTTATAGCTTTTGCCTTTGTATCACATTTAAACATCTTTGTCTACTCAAAGGCTACCAAAGTTTCCTTCTACTAGTTTTCACTTTTACAGCTAGGTCTGTGATTCGTTTTGAGTTAGTTTTTTGTATGTTATACAACTTTATTTTGAGTTCGTTGACAGGTTGGTCAACTTTATTCCTTTGTGCATGGTATTCTTTGTGTTTTTTGTTGAGGATAGTAGTTGCTTTTCTATTGAATAGAATTACTCTTTGTGAAAAAAAATCGTTGACCGTAGATGCATGGGTTTATTTAGACTTTCAATTATGATTAATCTATATGTTTATTTTTAGAAGAGTACAATATATCAATTACTGTATCTTTTAGGCAGCCTCTGAAATCAGGATGCATGAGTGTTCTGACTTAGTTTTCTTTTTTAAAAATTGTTTTAGCTGTTCATTCATCCCTTGGAATTCCATTTGAGTGTTAGATAAAGCTTTCCCATTTCTGTGAAAATGTGATTAGGATTTTAATAAGTATTGTATGAATATGTAGGTATCTTTGGGACATATTGCCATCTTCAATTCAGTCTTCAATTTGACATGTTTCCTTTATTTAGAAATGTTTTAATTTCTTCACTTTTTTTAGTTTATAGCATACCAGTCTTAAATTTATCACTAAGTATTTTTGTCGCTATATATGGAATTTTTTTTTCACTTCCATTTTAGATTGTTTACTGTTAGCTTATTGAAATATAAGCAATTATGTGTATATAGTTTATTGTTAAATTTAACTGGTACATAAAAACATAAAATTGTGCATATTAATGGTATACTATAATGTTTCATCACATACATCAATGGTGTACTGTTCATGTGTTAGGGATCTTGTTCTATACATAAAATATATCATTTGTGAATAGAGATAGTTTTACTTCTTTCAATTTGATTGCCTTCTCCCCCATCCACTCCCCACACCTTGCTTGATTGTCTAGCTGGAACTTTTGTTAAGAGTTGAGAAATACTGAAAGTGGGTCACCTAATTTCTGATATGAAAGGGCAAGTTTTTAATCTTTATCTTAGCTGTAAGTTTTTCATAACTATTCTGTATCAGAGGTTCAGGGAATTCTTCCCTGTTCCTAATTTTTAAGTGTGTTTCTAATGAGAGGTTGTTAGGGTGTTTTGTTTTTTGTTGAATGTTTTTTCTGTATCTACTTAGGTTCTTTTCTTCATTCTATTAATGTGGTAAATTACATTAATTGATTTCTTCTGCTAAATAATCCTTATATTTGTTAATTTAGATTGAAATCTAGGCATCTGTTAATTGAATAAGGATTCAAATTACAGGATTCATGTGCTATTTTTAAAGTTTTTTCATTGTTCAGGAAATCTGAGTTCACCCAGAATATGAGGAAAGTTTTTGTTCTGCCAATTTTTGAGTCAAAGATTAATGGGACAATGTGGAAAGGTAGTAGACAAGAAGTTACTAAAGCTGTTCATTATAGGACTACAGTCACAAGACATTCTAATGGACAAGTGTATGATGAAACAAAATGCAGAGTATGAGAACAGATCAAGTGTATGTGAACACTGAATATGTAATAATTATACAAGTCAAATTAGGTTTGACCCTGGGATTCCTGTTTTGTCTGTTTCTGTGCAAGTTGTATTAAATTGTTAAATATCTTCTAAATTTGATTTTTAAAAAGAGATAAGTAATATCTCATTCCTGTTAAGACATGGAAAGAATCAATGTTAGGTCAATGTAATCAGTAATTGTTAATAAAAATCTGACCAAAAGCCAATTGAAATACACCTATCCCCTCATTTGACATTAATTAGCAAAAATAGCCAGTAAAATTTTGATGATTGAAAAAAATAACAAAAGCTTATATCAAACCTTCTTATACATTCTGTGCATTATTTCTGTAGTTTTAATGGAAAAAAGGACCCAAGAATTCCCACGTTCACTATTTTTTAAACCATGAAATTATTAGAAGAACCTTCAGATAGACACGTATCTTAAAATTTTGATAGGAAGGGACTGAAAACAGAGAAAAGCTAAGTTGAGCATCTGTGGCTCACACCTGCAATCCTGGCTACTCAGGAAGCTGAAGATCACAATTCAAAATCACTCTAGGCAGGAAAGTCCATGAGACTCTTGATCTCAAATTAACCATCAGAAAACAAGAAGTGGCGTTGTTGCTCAAAGTGGTAGAACACTAGCCTTAAGCAGAAATGCTTAGGGTCAGCTCCTGGGCCCTGAGTTTAAGCCCCATAAACCGTAACAATAACAATGTAATAAGATAAAGATTTTCTGAATTTAAGTGTGGAGTAATACTTACATTTCCCAAGAGTTTGTGTACATAGTCACAACAGTGTTTTATGTCTGATGTCTATACACATAAATATCTAAGTATTCTTTTTTTAAATTTTAATATTGTGCTGTCTCTCTAATGGAGTTAAATTGGATCACTTTAGAGCTCTAAAATAGTCATTTCTCGTTCTTCACAGTTATTCTGTAAGTTGCCACAAACACTGGAATACAAAACTGTTGCTAGGGCAATGCAGGATTAGATTTCTGTGACCCCCCTGGCCATAACATTTTGATTAATACATAAAATGTACTGTACATTTTTCTGTTTAAAGATGCCTTCTTTAGCAGGGCATTAGTGACTCATTCCTACTTAGCAGGCTGAGATCTGAGGATCAAAGCCAACTCAGGCAGGAAAGTCCATGAGATTCCAAATTAACCATCAAAAAGCCACAAGTAGAGCTGTGGCTTAAGAGGTAGTGCACTAGCCTTGAGAAAAGGAAACAAACAAATAAACTCAGAAACAGTGTCTAAACCCTAAGTTCAGGCTTCAGGACAAGCAAAAAAAAAAAAAAAAAGGAAAAAAAAGATACCTTCTTTAATGTATACTGTTAACACATTAACTGTCTTCTTGCTAGGATAATGCTTCTCTAATACACATTTTCTCATAAGACATACTGTCACTTGGAAACACCTCATCATTTCATCTATGCCATTTTAAACACAGAATCACCAATAAAATTGTAGGAAATGTGGCCAAAGTGACCATAGAAACTATACTTGGTCAGTAAACAACTAGGAGTACTCAGTTCTTCACCACAACACCCATGCACATGCCTTTTGACATGAGTGATGGGTGGGTGGTACAATAGATACTCTTTTGGGGTTTACAAATAAATTTTAGCAAATAGGCAAATTCACAAATATAGAATTCACAAATACTAAAGGTGAACTATAAATTTTTCTTTGAAATATATTCTATATGCTACTAATTACCCCTGTTTTAAAATTGGGTTTTACTTAACAACCTAGGTTAAGTTAAAATACAAATACAAAGCAAGAATCTTTGTGGAAGAAAGCCTTTCGTTTGGAGTCCTTGGGGAGCATGGCCGAGGAGTTACTGAGCACTATGGGATCAATGTAAGTCTTCCACTGGGGAAATTACCTTCCTGTAGAATATGTATACTTCTATTTTGTTAACATTGTTGTGGGCATAAAATTGCGTTTGTCATTAGATCCTGATTTAAATGGATGCAGGTAAAAATGAAAGTTTTGTAAAACAGCCTTTGAACATAGAATATTCAATCATATGTCAGAAACAGTTGATTTTTACTGATTTTCTGACGTTTTATCTTTTAGAAGTACATACTGAAAGTAATAGATGCATAAAGTGTTTAAAAATTATTTTGCTTGATGTAGTTTTATTTGGAGTACTTTCTATAGCAAAATCCAGCCAGTCCACTGCTTTTGCAAGAAAATAATCTTAAAGCTCTTAACCTGTTTTTAATATCTCACAGTCTTGAATTTTATCTCCTTTTTTTATTATCTGAAGTAGTTGTACAAAGGGCTTTCAGTTCAACAAATCAGTTTATAAATACAATGTATTTTGATCAGTGTCACCTATTCCATTGTCCTCCTGTTTTTTCCAACCCCATACCATCAAGTTACCTGATTCATCTCCTTTTAATTTAACCATTTATTCACTGTGAGGAAAATGTTGCTGCATGATGGAATGGTAAGAAAGTATTAGGGTGAGTCATGTCCATGATTGCAGTCCTTCCAGCCATAGATTTTGTTTGACTAATCTATTGTCTCCATTTATGTAGTTTTTGAATCTAGACGCGTAAAGATGTGATAAATGAAGTTGATTTTTATTGTTGTTGTTTTGTCATTTATGGGGCTTGAACTCGGAGCTTGAGTGATGTCCCTGAGTTCTTTTGCTCAAGGCTAGAGCTCTGCCACTTTGAGCCACAGCCTCACTTCCAGTTTTTGAGTGGATAATTGGAGGTAAGAGGCTTCTCTGCAGGGGCTGGCTTCAAACTGCAATCTTCAGAGCTCAGCCTCCTGAGTAATTTAAGATTACAGGCGTGAGCCACCACCACCCTGCAAATGAAGTATTTTGTATCTAGGCTTTGTACTGTCTTATTTTTCATTTCCTGTAAGTTGAGGAATAATCCATTGGTCTTTCTCACTTTTCTGGCAGATGGAAGATATTGACCTTATCAGTGCCAACATGGAGAATGCTCTTGCTTCTATTGGAGGTTTCTGTTGTGGCAGAACTTTTGTAATTGACCATCAGGTAAACTCTGAAATTGATTGCTACATTGATCACTTTAAAGTAAAACTTCAAATTATATCCTTTTGTTTTTGTTTTGTTCAGTGGTTCTGAGAATTGAACATAGGGCTTTCTACTTGCTAGACAGGAGTCCTATCTCTTGAGCTGTGCCCCAGACTATTTTTTACCCAGGTCAGCCTCAGATCATGATGCTCCTACCTATCCTTCACAGTAACTGGATCACAGCCACATACAACCATACCAGCTTATTAATTGGGATGGGACCTCACTGACTTTTTCCTCAGTTTTCTTGAACTAGAGTCATACAAATTTTACTTAAATACTGATATTTAGAAAACAACTTAAAAATATTTAACTTGAGAAATGACCTCCCTTTTTAGCTTTATCTTTGCTACATGTATAGTGCTTATTCTTGACTAGATCTTACTCCCTCACCTTATTTACATATTGTTCTGTGGGTTATATGGGAATTCAGTGTCTTTTGAATGTTTACTCTCCTTACCGCCCAAAAACAGAGAGAACGTTTATGTTATGGTTTGACTTGTTTCTTCTCAGCGACTCTCTGGCCAAGGATACTGCTTTTCAGCTTCATTACCTCCCTTGTTAGCCGCTGCTGCCATTGAGGCTCTCAACATCATGGAAGAGAATCCAGGTACAGCCGTCAGTGCTTGGGCTATGTTAACTGTAACTGTGTCACTGGCTTGCTTCTGGGGGAACTTCGTAAGAGGAAATTATTTACCAGAAAAAACTCTACAGAATTAGATTACAGGATGAGCATTTCGAATCCAGAAATCCAAAGTAGTCTAAAATCCAAAATTTTCTGAGCATAGGTAATTTTGAGTTTAGAAATTCATCCAGGGAGGTCTACATAAACACTACAGAATTGGGGTGGAGGCATGCTTCAGATGGTAAGGCACCTGCTTAATGAATACTAATGAATCTGAAAAACTCTTAAAAATCTGAAACATTTCTCATCCCAGCGTTCCAGAGAAGGATACTCACTCATAACTGACATTTACAGGAAGAATGGCAGTGAAGACACTGCCCTGGAGGCCAGAGCTTTAGTCCTTGTGCTTGGAGTTGGAACCAAAGCCTGGCTGGCTTTCTGGTATGCAGGGATGCCAGAAGGAGGAGGTCCCCTGGGTCAGTGCCAAGCTTAGATGCTTTCACTACTGTAAATAACATTCATTGTTCGGTTTACAGTTTTTTGAGAAATGAACCAGTGCCAATATGTTAGAACTGTTGTCAGTTTCCTACTTCAGTCTTTTAGTCCTCAATTCATCCAGTCTTGTCAATACTCTCTTGTCAGCCACCAACTCAGTGGGCAAAATACAGTGTCAAAGGAGAATTCAAAATGTGACTATTGGCTACAGTAGGATCTTAAAATGGAGAGAACAGTGGGCCTTACCTGGCACTTCAGATACACAGCCTTGATACTAATTCAGAAATCAGAAGACTTGTGAATGTGTCTGTGTGCACATTTAGATGCTCCCTTGTGAGGTAGCTTTGCAGCCTCATCTCCTGGTCAGATATTATCACTTTCTGGTTTTCCTTCTATACTTTTTAAAATATTACTTTGACACTGCAGATTTTTCACAAATTGTTTAAATCAAGAAATAGATAATTGACCAGGTGCAGGTGGTTTATACCTGTAATCCTTGCTACTCAGGAGGCAGAGAATCATGGTTCAAAGCCAGCTCAAGCAGGAAAGCCTGTGAGACTCTTATCATCAATTAATCACACACACACACACAAAAGCAAAACAAAATGTGGAGCTGTGGCTCAAGTGGTAGAGCAGTAGACTTGAGTGAAAGAAGATCAAGGACAGTGCCCAGGCCCTGAGTTCAAGCCACAGGACTGGCACATACACTTATACACACAGAAAGAAAAGGAGGGAGGAGATAGGAGAGAAGAAAATGAAGGAAGGAAGGAAGAAAGGAAAAAAGAAATGATTTGCTCCATTTTCTTCTTTGCTGGACTTTGTAGAATCTTGGTAAGAATAAAATTCATTGTTTTGGAACTCATCATTTTCAGGTTTAGTGAAATGGGATGAGAAGAGTCTAGTCAGTAAGTGTCAAAGACTAAGTTCAGCCCCACACAAGAACACCACTATGGAAGGATTTGCAGCCTTTTAGATTGATGAGCTTGAATTGAGAGAGAGAGAGAGAGAGAGTGTGTGTGTGTGTGTGTGTGTCTGTGTCTGTGTCTGTGTGTGTCTGTCTGTGTGTCTGTGTCTGTGTGTCTGTGTGGTATATCAGCCTGGAGGTTGAATTTAGGGTCTGGGGCTATTCTAAGCTTTTTTGCTTAAGGCTAGTGGTCTACCACTTGAACCACAACTCCTCTTGCAGCTTTTTGCTGATTAATTTGGTGATCAGACTCTCAAACTGTTTTGTCTGGGCTGGCTTCGAACTGAGATCCTTAGATCTTAGCCTCCTGAGTAGCTAGGATTATAGGCCTGAATCACTGGCACCCAACCTTTAAAATTATTTTTTATTTAGTACAATCGACTGCATCAGCTAATATCAATGATTTTTTCCATTTAGATATTTTTGCAGTATTAAAGAAAAAGTGCCAACAAATTCATAAAGCTTTACAAGGGTAAGTTTTATATTTTGGGCTAACATAAAGATTATCTCTACCATACTTAATGAAAAGTTGTATAGGCTGTAATTAGCATAACAACTTTGCAACTAGGAAAACAACTCCGTTCACCAACTTGATTTATTTGTATAAAACTAGAGCAACCATTTGTCCTTGTCAAGAATCATGCCTTTGCTTTTATAAAAATGCAACATACTACTAAAATTCTATAGTAATATGGGAAAACAATACAACATCTTACCACAAGAAATAAGAAAGATACACACTGGAGCATCTCCATAATGCCACAGAAAAAAAATAATTACAGGATATAATTGGGTGGTACTAGGTTTCTGCTGTCCATGTTACTATTTAGTAGGTTTAAGACATGAAAAGGAAATTGAATCTTATAAATGTTTTCTTTTTTAAAAAACTTTAATTTTAATTTGTAAAATTCCTCTTAGGGTTGAGAAAAAAATAAATTGAGATTGGTGACATCTACAGTTTCTGGCTTCTTAAGAATGATCTCACATTGCCTAAGGTGTTTCCTTTTTGCCTCCTAAGAAGAAATGGGTCTCTACAGTCTTGAAAGCCCTGTCTCTGTTACAAGATAAGGAAACTAGACATGTTACTGATTGGAAAGGGCATTTGATAAGTGGATAGATCACAGCTGTTCTAGGTAAAATGGAGACAGAGATAATGACAGTTCTGGGTGTGTCTGTACAATAGTAACAGAAGTTCTTGCATCATTTATAGTAGGAGAATATACGTGCATCAGTTCCAGTTGCACTGGTTTGTGAAATATTAATTTACCAACTCATTGGAGGCACTGTACATTCATCAGTACTAACCTTAGATGCCCTTCAGAATCTCTTCTCCACCTTTTCTTCAGAACTCCTTAGCCTTCTGTCAGCATTCCATCCCTTTCATAGACAGCCTCACCTCATGCTGTCCCTTAGGAATTCCCTTGGTTTTTCTAACAAACCCACATAGCTACAGACAACCAAACTAGTCTTCCCTCTGTTGTAGCCAAAAGCATTTTCTTCCAGCCATCACAGGTTCTTATTTTTCCTTTTGAGAACCTCTGGTTGTCCCCTTACTATGTTATCCTGAGTCATTTCAGTAGCATTCATATCCTCCCTACCCCTTGTCTTTAAATTCTCCCTGCTCATAATGTCACATTCCCCTCTAGCAACTACCCCGTTTCTTGGCTTCTGTTTTTAACTATTCTTCTCAAAATACATATGTAGTTTTTCCATGTCCTCATCTCTCACTTCCTCTAAAAACTACTTTCCTATGGGGAACACCAGTGACACCAACTCTAAGACTTATAGCACATTTATGGCTCAGTAGTTTTCCACACATGACCATTTTTTTTCCTTCTTTGGATTCTGCTACACTGTGTTCATGGGTTTCCTTCAACAGCTTTGAATTGTTTCATCTTCATCTCCTTTGAAGGCTTTCTGCAACACCCTGCTCTCTTTAGGATTTTGTCCTCAGTTGTCCTCTTCATCTCATTAGCTTCTTGGGGATTTGCCTCCTGTGACTGAAGTTTCACATTGTTTTGTGTCCCCTGCATGTGGGTAACTGACAGATCTGTGTCTCCAGATCTCCAGCTGCCTACTCAGTAGCTATACTTGGAGAACCCTGCAGGGACCTCATACTAAACACACACTGGAACAAATATAGGAGAGAAAAGCAAAGGAAACAGGAAGGCAGCCAGACCAAACAAGTGGGAGGACCTAGGGAAGGGTGAGGGCCAGGTAATGGGCCGTTCAGGCCATGACAGAAGCCTTGGCTCAGGTAAGAAGGTATGCATGATTTTAAGGGAAAACATGCCCTGGAACAGCTAGACATAAGTCTTAGCATATTTCTCCTATGTAGAGTGAAATTATGCATTGTTTGGTGACAAGCGCAGAAGCAAAGAGATTAGTTAGGAGATGGAAACAGAAGGTTGAATGACTTTGACCCAGTAGTATCACTGAGCATTGTTTGACTTCTAGATATATTTTGGAGAGACAGCACGCTGGATCTGCCAGAAATTCCTACAGAGGTAGAATGAGAAAGAGAAGACTTAAGGTTAACTTTAAGGTTTTGATCTGAGCAACCAGATGGAGTAGCTACTAGGCGAATAGCCAGAATGGTTGAAGAAATATTTGGTGGGGATTCAGTGCCAGATGTGTTGTGCTTCATATGCTGTCAGACATCAGTGGAGAATAGCACTTGGATATACAAGTTTACATTTGAAAGAAAGTCCTGAACTAGAAAAAAATGTTTGATTTACAAAGATAGTATTTAAAGCATTTCCATGTGGATAGGTTAGAAGGTGATCGAGAAGTAGCCAGTGAAAAGAGCTGACCAAGGACTCCAGAGTTCCAGAAGCCAAGTGGAAAACACAATTACATAGGTCAGTGTGTGGCATCTTGCTGCAGTAGACTTAGCAAGGTGACTACATGCCATTCCTTTGATTTCAAAGTATGGTGCTTACTGTGACTTGATGAGTACTTCCAGGACAGAAGAAGGGGCAGAATAGAACACCTGATTGAAGTAGGCTCAGTTAAGAGAAGAGATTAAGAGAGGAACTGGACACAGCTTTAGGAAAGCATTTTTAAGCACTTTCTGTAAAGAGAATAGGGAAGAGAAATTAGGTGATGATTAGAGAAAGAAACAGGGATCAAGAGAAGATAAGTAAAGCCAGTTTCTGACTAACATTCCAATTCTACATTCTTTCATCTACAGATTGATAGGGCTATCTCCCATATACCAGTTTCTCATTTGTACATGGGTTTATTTTTGAACTATTTGATTGGTTTATTTGTTCAGTCCTAACACTGTTTTTACTGTTGTGTTTGCTTTCATTAGCTTCCTCCAAAATAATTGCTAGAATTTTCATTGGAATGGCACTAAATTCTCTGATTAATGTGGAAGCATTTGTCATGCAAGAACATGAGCTCTCTATTTCAATCTTCTTTTCTTTTGTGCCAGTATTGGGGCTTAATCTCAGGACCTAGGCACTGTCCTTAAGCTTTTTCACTCAAGGCTAGTGCTGTACCACAAGCTGCTTCCCTACCAGTTTTTTGGTAGTTAATTAGAGGTAAGAGTTTCATACTTTCCTGCCCAGGTGTTTTTTGAACTCTAATCCTCAGATTTCAGCCATGACTACTGGTGCCTAGCCATTTTGATCTTTGTGTTTTTTAACACAATTTTTTCCCTTTAAAGCCTTTATACCCTTTTGGGGTCTCTAAAGGAAATTTCTGGGTGTCCTATAGATTTTTGTTGCAATTGTGAATGGGGTTTTATTCTTTCTACTTGATTACTGATAATTTGTAAGGATTTTTTTTAACTAATCTTATGTCCAGAAGTTTCTTTTTAATTAAATCCTGTTTTGATGATGTACCTAGAAAATCTTTTTATAACAATAATTTTCTATCTTTTCCTCCTATCTCTTATAAATCATACAGTTCTTTTTCTTTTATTGCATTGATCTGGGTCTCTTTTTTTTTGGGGGGGTCCGGTTGTGGGGCCTGAACTCTGGGCCTGGGCACTGTCCCTCAGCTCTTCAGCTCAAGGCTAGCACTCTACCACTTGAGCCACAGCGTCACTTCCGGCTTTTTTCTTTTTGCTTATGTGGTGCTGAGGAATCGAACCCAGGGCCTCATGTATGCAAGGCAAGCGCTCTGCCATGCTAGATATATTTAGCTAATGTTTTAATTTGAATATATATAATTCAAATGGACCTACAGTCTTCTGTTATGCTGACTTTCAGTAACGTAAAAATCAGTGTTACGGTAGCTTCAGTACATGATTTGGGTATTTTCTACTTTTTCTGTCTTGGAGCCAATGAGTAATCAAAGTGTAATTGTTTCTTCAAAGTTTCCCCTCTTCTCTCTTAAGGATTTACTATATCTTGTACCTCTTAAGGTTGGAGAGAATGTGATTTTTCTTTTGAGTGTTTATTTTCCTTATTTAATTTTCTATTTCTGACTTTATTTGAATCTATTCTCTGTATTGTGTTCTTTAATTTTTATTTATTTTTGTCTTTAATTTTATTTATTTATTTATGAATGTATGTATGTATGTATGTCAGTCTGGGCCTTAGCACTGTCCCTCAGCTCTTCAACCCAAGGCTAGCGCTCTACCACTTGAGCCACAACAGCACTTCTGGTTTTCTGGTGGTTTATTGGAGATTAGAGTCTCATGGACTGCTGTGCCAGTGGCTCATGCCTTTATAGCTACTCAGGAGGCTGAAATCTCAGGATCATGGTTCAAAGCCAGCCTGGACAGGAAAGGCCATGAGACTCTTATTTCCAATAAACCACTCAAAAAACTGGAAGTGGGTGTGGTGGCTCAAGTGGTAGAGCGCTAGCCTTGAGCTGAAGAGCTGAGGGACAGTGTTCAGGCTCCATGACGGACAAAAAAAAAGGCTCACAGACTTTCCTGCTTGGGCTGGCTTTGAACTGGGATCCTCTTGAGTAGCTAGGATTACAGATGTGAGCCACTGGCTCCCAGCTCTTTTTTTATTTTTTATTTTTGAGAATTATATGCAGTTTATGGCATGAATTGGCTAAAACATTTCCTGATACAAGGGACAAAAGTCCAAGTCCAGCTTTTCATAAGAGGAAGAAAAGGGAGGGAGGGAGAAGGGAGAGCTGGGCTCATGAAATGGTATGTCCAGGGTAACACTTGATCAAGGCATGATTAGATCCAGGTACTCAGAAAGACTTCATCTAGTTTCCAGCCTTCTCCATCCCACAATGCAGATTTCATCCATGTTGGCTTCCTTCTCAGACAGCATTCTCCTTGGGGCAGCAAGGTGGTCCCCAGTAGCATGAGGCTTGGCAACCCAGATATGGTTGCTTGAATGGAGAAAAGTCATATGAGGCTCCCAGGGGGGAGCAGTGACTTTTTAATCAGTTGCTCTATTCTATATCTCAGTGACTTCCTCTACAGAGTGAGTGGCATAGAATTTACAAGGTGGGTCAGTAAGGAAATCAGGAAGTCTGGACTCCATTCCCAATACTGTGTCACCTAGAACCAGTCACTTCATCTCACCTCTTGATTTCTCCAGCAAAAGTATGTGCTAACATCAACAGGAGCAAGGATAAGAACCACATGGTTATCTCAATAGATGCAGCAAAAGCATTTGACAAGATCCAACACCCTTTATGATGAAGGTTCTGGAAAAATTAGGAATCCATAGAATATTCCTCAATACAATAAAGGCTGTATATGACAAACCTACAGCCAGCATTATACTTAATGGTGAAAAACTAAAGCCAATTCCTCTTAACTCAGGGACAAGACAAGGATGTCCACTCTCTCCACTTCTCTTCAATCTAGTATTAGAATGCCTAGGTACAGCAATAAGATAAGATGCAAAGATAAAGGGGATCCAAATAGGGAAAGAAGTAAAACTCTTCCTCTTTGCAGATGACATGATCTTGTATTTAAAGAATCCCATAGACTCCACTCCCAAATTATTCAAGCTGATTCAAAACTTTGGCAAAGTAGCAGGGTATAAAATTAACCCTCAAAAATCAATGGCTTTTCTGTACGCCAACAATGAGAAAAGTGTGGCTGAAATTAGGAAAGCAACTCCATTCCTAATAGCCCCACAAAAAATAAAATACCTAGGAATTAACCAAAGAAGCAAACGACCTCTACGATGAAAACTTTAAAAACTTGAAAAAGGAAATCAAAACAGAACTTAGAAAGTGGCAAAAACTCCCATGCTCCTGGATTGTTGAAAGATCAACATCATGAAAATGGCAATACTTCCCAAGGCTATCTACAAATTCTATGTGATACCTATCAAAATTCCAACCTCATTCTTCAAGGAAATAGAAGAGGCAATCCAAAAATTCACATGGAACAATAAAAGACCCCAAATAGCAAAAACGATCCTCAACAGA